TATGCTAACAATCAATCCATGGTCTAATTCCTATCTTCAAATATAATTTAAGAAAAGTTAAAATTGAAACAAGAGGAAAAATGCACACAAGTACCTGTAAAATAAAACTTACAGCAAGAGAATTGATGAAAAACTGATAAATTTTTCTTTAAAAATCTGCATTCAGCAAGGGTACAGCGATGAAGTCTTTTTTGTAGGGCATTAGGTAGTTTTGAAAAGCTATACTACTAACGGGCCAAGCTTTGAGTACGTGGGACAAGTTAGAAACCATGAAAATTCCCAAGAGAGAGCTGCGACATGGCTTGACAAAAAAATCTTCTTTTTTGCTGAAACGTCTCCCGACAACCATCATTTCCTTGGACTCTTTCTCCATGCAGAAGTTGGAGATAAGAATTATCTCATGACTTTCGAGCAGTGTGCAGCAATTATTTGGCCTCTGTGGCGTCATTTCAAAGAATTTATATTTTAGTGACCTGTAATGCGGATTACCAACAGAACTGATTAATGGACCTTCTGTATGAAGTGAGAAAAACTGCGGCATTTCAAAAAAATTTCTTGGCACCTGCTTGAATAATAAGTCACGTTTAAACATTTCCTCTAGCCGATACTCAAGCTGAACCAGAAGTTCACTGCTCTCCCTTATCAGATTTTTAATGAATTGCAGGAAATTTTCAACCCGAAATGCGCTGCACTCTTCTAAATTTCCAAAAAAATCGATGTCGTCACAAATATGCAGCAGGCCATGTAGATTGTGGGTCACAAAATCTACGCCATACTCTGACCTATATTTCTCAACAAAATACCGCAGCAAAGACCGCGCATTAGAGACCTTTTCCTTATCATTCGTCATTTTGGGATCCAGAATAATTCTGACTGCTACTACCAAACACAAAAAATGTTCATACTTTGCATCACAGACAGAAAGTTTGAAGATTACCATACCAGTGTACAGAAGAAGCTGCCTCCACTCGGTGCCTTTGAAAAAATAGACCTCTTCCAGTGTTCGGGGTTTACGATTAAATACTGTCGGTGAAAAAAGGCTTCATTTGGACTGATTTTAAGTACACTTCTTGTCGCGCGGGAGCCCCAATATTGTAGGGCTTTTTGCCCAGCAGCCATAAATACACAAGTGCGGAAGCAACCCAGTAAAATCAAATGTAGATAGTCCAGGGAAAAGCTTGCTGGAAACGTCAAAGTGGGTATTTCAGTAAGACGCGTGGTTGATTGATGATAAACATCATCAGATGATTGCGCCAGAAACTCTTCATGCGTTCTTAAAGGAGCATTATCATTATCATAATAGACTCTATTGCTTTCACGTGACCATTTCCCTAGGACATGACATCTTGTACAAGCACTCTTACCATTGAAATTTTGAATTTCAAGCACTATTGCTTTAGCAGGAGCATCCCCTGAAAAACCGTCCAGAGCCACTGTGAAATAATGTCCGTTTACAGTAATTCCATTTGCAAATAACATTTTAGCTTCATCAATGAAATCGTCGAGGAAAGCAGAATTTTTAGGCTTATGGCCACTACAGAAAAACCCAATGGGAAAAACGATGTGTGCAACGTGCGGAATAGAAGTAATCCTGCCTAAAATACTCCAGATCTCACTCGGAACACTTTTAAACGGTGACATTCCATCTGTTGTCCACAATATGACAACATGTCCGCCTTCTTCTTCCTCGGCAAGAATAACTGACAAGCACCTTGCAATGCTAAAGTGGAAGTATTTACCTCCTCCTCGAGCCTCCTTCACATGAGACCTCCTAGGAGTTTGAACAAGGGTCCGAGCCGTAGCTGGCAGGATTGAGAGGCAGGGCACAGTTTTAAGAGATTGCAATAACGAAGTTACTTTGCACTGTTCAACTTTTTGACTAATTGACCAATCACATATTATGTTTTTCACTCTCTCAGCTACTGTGTGCTCTGATTCCTCATCAGAATATGGTTCATCATCACAGTAAGAATTAAGAATACGATCCAATGGACTATCAGAGCTGGATGCCGAAGGAAGATGAACATCTTCAGTAAAAAGACAGCTAGGATCAAACACATCATCAAAGTAGTTTTGATCTGCTTGCTCCATCAGAAAGAAAATATCTACTTCATGATCATCAGCAGTTTCATTTAGAAGGTTCAGGAGTTGAGGCTGACTAAGAGGGCACAAATTCTTTTCTACGGTTTGTTTCGGTGCTTCAACATTGACATTATCAGAAGAAACACAACTCGCTCCTGTTGACTCTTCAGGCTTACTCGCTTGTACTTCATTACTTATGACGGACCTTTCTATGGGTTGATCCGATGCACTAGCAGGTATCTCAACATCGACATTCTTTAGTTCATCATTACTAGGTTAAAAATGTTCAACAGGATCATTACACTCTGAGTTGGTGCCACACACATTGTCACTGAAGACGAGGTTCTTCCTAACTTCTCTCAATTGAGATCTGACATCAAGGGCAGAAAATACCTTACGCTATTCCTGGAACGATAAACTGGCCCTGGTGGTGTATCCTCTATTGAAGGGGGCTCGGTATCAGGAAATAAACGAGGATCACTCATTGCAAATGTAAAACTCAGAGAATCACAAATAAGTTGGTGCAGCGTTCAGAATGAGATAATCGCCTTTACTATTGGGACAGCAAAAGCCTGTGAGCCTAACTCTTGGCAAACTGAAATTTATAGGCCACTCCTAGTCAGCACGTCAATATTTTCTGTAAGATATTTTCATGGCAATCATTTTCAAAATATTTATGCAATGATTTTAAAACCCATAATCTACATGGCCATGCTGCATGTTTGTGACATCAATTTGGGCGAAGGAGTAACACAGGAGCAGAGAGGATTGGCAAAATGAAATAAACTTACCTCAAGTGCGAATGGGAGCAAGTAATGACTAATGAGGAGTAATTTTGTTCCTTCTTTCTTGCTTTTCGGCTTTTCCAAATTTTCTTGAACTTCGGTGCAGCACGCACTCAGAAACGGAAAAGTAAAATCGCAACGCTCACGACACACAAGTAATTGCATGCGCATTGCGCATGCGCCCTACTTTAAAAAGTGATGACGCGCGAGAAAATGTTGCCAATCCTTCATTCAAAAAGTTTGACACCCTGTAAATCATGGACCCCCGAAAAAGCTAATAAAAACTATAGATGCGACAAAGAGATTACTTAAGATCATGTCGGACTTACTGAACAGTAAAAGTTGTTCCGCGGTCACATTCCACATAAATTTCACCTAAAACGGTTTTAGGTTTGAACAGAGGTTTTTGCAGACTGATGTTATCGAATTGTTGGCGCGAGGTTTTGAGGCTATGTATACACCACCTGGGACCTGGCGCTTGCACATTTTCTGCCTCCTTCAACCTCTTTGATAGGCAACTTAGCATACGTAGAAGCAGGTCCCCTGCCCTGCTAGCTGCCGGCGCCGGGCCGTCCATTTCATGGCAAGATTTTAGTGTATTTTCCGAAGGAAATACACTATTGCATTCTCCCATGATGTCGAATCCAGACCTGAGACATTGTGAAGAGCACCGATCACGGGTCGTAGATCACGAAAATATATGCCATTCAAATTCATGTGTATATATATATGTATGTATGTATGTATGTATATAGTTAGTTAGTTATTATAATTTTGAGACATTCAGCGACTTGGGCTATTAATGTCTTTACAGGTAATTTTGAAAATATATAGGAGTATAAACGAAAATTTAGATTTTTAAATTAAGAGAGGTGAAGAGTTTCAGAATTTTGGTGGCAATATTAGGTTCATCGCATGTAAGAGGGTTTGTATTTCTGTTGATTGTAGGGGAGTAGATCTGTGATTGGAGATGTCGGAGGGAAGAGCAGTCCATAAGTATGTGTTTGATGGTTAGAGGTGATGAATTGCAGAAGTGGCAGATGGGTTGGTTTTCTTTAGATATGATATGGTTGTGAGTGAAAAAAGTGTGACCTATCCTGAGACGCGCAATTTGGACTTCACATGATCTTGATTTGTGGTTAGATGTTCTTGGATATGGCATGGGGGCTCTACGGAGACGATTCTGTTCACTTGTGCTCCATTCTTGTTCCCACGATTTTGTGATAGTTTCATGGCGCCGGTTTTTTGGACCCCGGTAGGGATCCAAATGGATTCCGAAGTCCCCCCTATGCCCCCCTTGGAAGGTACATAGGGCATCACGATCCTAAATGTCAATAAGATTGCCGACCGAATCATATAGATTCAATTTCATTGGTATTGAAAAATGCGAAGCATTTCACTCTAATTGCCCCCAAAAAATCCAAAATCGTCGCTGAGAATAATAGTCGCTAGAAGCAAATGAACATTTTGGAAATTGTTCAATTAATAATAACGGATGCATTAAAAATATGCTCCGGAAAATATTTCGAAAATTGACTCCCTAAAAAACGTAAAAATATTGTTTAAAATTTTTTTAAAGGAATGCGGCATCCCAACAATATTTTTAAAATAATTTTGAGATGTAATTTTCAAAATAATCACCTACAAATATTGTACAAATATTTTGTGACTAATATTTTAAAAACAGTATTGCTAAAAAAATTTGAAAATAGTTTGAAAATACTTTTTAAACATTATTTACATAACAATATTGTATAAATATTTAATGTAATTATTTATAACATTATAACATAGAAATATTTTCATAATATTGTTACAAAAATAGTTTTTAAAAAGTATTTTCCAATTATTTTTAAAAATGTTCATCAATTATCTTCGGAATTAGGTTTAAAAAAATAAGACAAAAATCATAAAGCAATATTCTTGGAAAAATTGAGTAACTGCATGTCAAAGATAGTGCGTTCTAAAGATTGAAGATTTTTTTTTTTTTAACAAACTTTTTTTGAATAAAACGCAACTCCTTCAAGAAGGATTGAAGATTCATTCAGAATTTCGATCTCGTAAACTCGACTTTCAAAGGAGAGATCGCTTTTCGCAAGGCGAATAGAAAAAAAGTGAATGACAAAAACGGTATCAAAATGCTGCACTTTTTATTATCAAGTGTTCTAGAAGTACAGTTAACCTTTGCCAATCAGATTTTTAGCATTCAGTACCTATTCAAATTTTATGTTGTTGTCGTCTCTAAGCTTGAAAATCTAGCAGAAAGAAATATATTCAGGGTGTATGGATGTATCCTTGGTATACGTCGAATGTTGAGTTTGTTTCAACTGCAAACGCCAGCACATTTTACGCCTAAAATGATCAGTTCAAGTGTATTCCTGGCCAACATTGAAATTAAAATGGCTCGATGAACTTGTGAAAGGTTTGAAGCCGTCTCCTTCCCTCTCAGCAGGTAGCTTGTAAACGATCAAATTTCGGTCGACTTGATTCTGTAACAGTCCAAGGAAAAGGTACATTTGTTAAAAACTCGCCTCAAATGGGAGCATGAGTTTTGGGGATCAGAGAGCTAATAGCAATCATTTGAAGTCCAGTGGCGTAACGGGCGCCCCCGCAGACCCTGCTATGCAGGGGGGCCTAGGCGCCAAGGGGGCCCTCGGCCGCCGGAATTTGTTTTCTCTCTTTCTCTTTGATGCTTTGCTTTGGTTTCAAACTTTGGGCCTTTACTTACCGAGGTGGGGCTTCTTCCTCTGATTTTTATTGTTAGCTCAGGGTTTTTCATACTTCTTTCGGACTGTTCCAAACTTTTTGTTTGCTGGAGGGCCCCTGCCTTCCAATGTCCACTCAGTGATTACTAAAATGTTTTTCTTTTTTTGTCACTTTTCGTATTTCGGGCTTTGGGAGATCAAATAATCTAAAGGGCCCCCAAGGCTCTTGGGGGCCTCTATAGATTCTTGGGCCTGGGCTGGGCTCCTGCCACCTTTTAGATCCTTGATCCTTTAGGGGTCCCATATAATCGGGTACGGGATCTGGGACGGTGAGGGGTAAGGCATTCCGAGTCCAAGTCCGTGATTTGAAATGCCTCGGGCCAAAAAATGGGAAGGGGTGAGAGGGGGGGATAATTTTGGAATTTTATCGACATGGGGGGGGGGCCTAGAAAAAATTTTGCGGGGGGGCCCAGCGGAAGTCCGTTACGCCACTGATTTGAACAAAGAGCTTGATGCAAAAACGGCTTTTTTCGCCCCCCCTCTGGAAGTTCTTCAGACTTTGTCTATTGATTAATCATACTTGAGCGCTTCTTTTCCCAAATTTTCAGACCCCCAAAAAATTTTGGGGGGGAGCTAGGGGGGGTGGAAGTCAAAACCTGTGAACCTCGATATCTCTTGAACAAAGAAAGATATCGAGGTCCGGTTTAGACGAAAAATCGTCTAAAATGGACCTCGATATCTTTCTTTGTTTAAGAGATATCGAGGTTCACAGGTTTTGACTTCCACCCCCCCTAGCTCCCCCCCAAAATTTTTTGGGGGTCTGAAAATTTGGGAAAAGAAGCGCTCAAGTATGAGTAATCAATAGACAAAGTCTGAAGAACTTCCAGAGGGGGGGCGAAAAAAGCCGTTTTTGCATCAAGCTCTTTCATCAATTAATAAAAAAATGTTCTTCATTCTACACGAAATCAACGTGTTTCGTTCTGTTTCGCTTACCTGTCTAGTTGAAGGCTGGAGTAGTTGCCTCTCCTCATTCGTCAATTCTGGCAGTAGGAATTCCAACTGAGATCTGCTCCTGTTTAGTTCTTTCCATGCCCGGGCTATTTCCAGTCTCTCCTGAAACGACGCAGATGAGGGGGTGGTAAATGTATCATGAATCATCAAGTTAAGCTCTACGTTTAATACGCACACTACGTAGGAAAAAATTCATTCCAAAAAACATGCCTTGAGTACCTAAGATTTTGTAACAGCCTAGTGGCAGATAACAATTAAGAACAAGTAAATCGCATGAATACGTAAGTATGTAACTAAATGGTGAAAAATATATTGTGGCAGTCACTTTAAATCGAATATTACTTCCATCGCGTCTGCTATACTGCTGTGCTGAGGAAGATCGCCGATTCGCCGCATGAGCTTTTAGACGTTGCCAAATTTCCTTTGATATAATATGAATTTTCAGGGCCAAATCTGTGAATATTTTTCCTCCGATTTTTCAGAGAATTTTATTAAGAACGAGATCTAAGTTATTTGAAAATTTCGAGAGAAAATATTAATTCTCCTCAAAATTTAACATTTTACCGGAGGAAATTTGGCAACTCTCTTATGTTCATACGGCGTTTTTCCTTAGCACAGCAGTGTAGAATAGCGTAGGATTGTTTACTCGATTTGACGATACAAAAAATTTAATCGAAGCCACATTTCCATGGAAAAGTGATAGTGGAGATGTATCTGTATCCCTCAGTCATAAAAAAACAGTGGTCACGTCAAAGAAACGAATAAGAACTTCTATCTTTCGCACGCAACATGAAAGTGTTATCTTTTTCTTACCACTCGATGAGGAGACATAGTAAAGTTCGCCGAAATCATTACCTTCATTAAATTACGCTCTTGAATTTCTAATTCGTTGATTTTCTCCTGTATCTCTGCTTGTCCATCATTTACTGCCTTTTCCGACTCCTTGGCGCGTCGTAAAGCCTCAAGGCCTTCCTCCTTCTTCCTTTGTGACTCCTGAAAATCCAATCCCATAAATTGATGAGTCATGAAGGAGGATGGATTTGATTCGAGAAGAACTGTGGTGGTTCGCAAGTGGACGGTGTATTTACACTTCTCCAAGCGCAGTTGCGCAGTATAGGCAATTTGCACAACAGAACGGTGTGAACGGTGTAGGGTTGGAAGTATTCATACGATGTTGAAGGCGCTCCATACGGTGCACACGGGCGCGCCGCGCTTGTTGTCCGCGATAATTCGAATTTGCGCCGTCAGCGTTTCCGAATAGTTTTGATAGCCGGCAACGGGCCTTACCCTAAATATAGCCTAAAGTTTAATGACTAAGCACAACTTAGTAAGTGATAGAACTTTAAGGAATCAAAATTCGTAGAAGTGCATACTTTTTGCTGACAACTTTGCAAATGCTTTGATTACTTCGACTGCGCTCTTCTTTTTAGTGTGACCTGGACCTTTAAAGACTTTGGATGAAATTACTCCAACCGCGCTTTTTTTGCGCGTAGGAAGAACTTGTGTTATGCTGATGAAAGAATACACTGAAAAATCTCTCTGCACCCCTGTCAATCAGCGCCGTTGACCAAATTTAGAATTAAGGGACTTAGAGGACAAGGCGCATAAGTGCAGTTATTGCAGAAATTGGGAGATTCATGATTTTAACTAAAACCAGCCGTAAAATATATCCTGTGAAAAATTCACCTCTGAAACCCAATTTTTAAGTATCAAAAGTAAGTTTGAACTTTCCCTCAGACATAAAAGGCTTTATGTAATTTTGAAAATTTAATCGCGCATTCCTTGAAATAGCAAAAACTGCTCTTATACTCATTACCTTCCAATCCGTTCTATTTGTCCTCAAAGGCGGATTATGTCCAATTTTTTTTTATCTTATTCCAAAAAAAACTGTTTATGGTGGTTTTGTGGTACTTCAATTCAGGTTTTGCCATCGAATCAACTCATTGATAATCCTTAAATAAGACTATTTCTAAAAAGTTTCTTAACTCACGTCACACGTTTCCTAACTCCAAGTTAGGTAAGTTATTGATAGCAAAATGTCATAAAATACTTTGAAGTATCCGTGTTATCTTGTCCAAAACTGAAATGATCGCTCGACCCCACTCAAAAAAAACCGACCCCTGAAAAATGTTGCTCTCGTGCCGTAAAGGTTCCTCCCACTTCCCTAATCGCACAGTGACGCTTGAAAGATGTTCATAAAATATTTCTAAAAACAATAAACTGCTTCATTTATGTTCCCTCGGAAGAACCGGGGGAAACAATTTTTTTCAACACCCATTACACAAAAAAGTGTTAAACTTTTAAAAAAGGTCTATTAGAATTTAAGACGCCCAAGTTGTTCTTTAAAATTGCTTTAAAACATTTTCTACTTATTAATTTCATAAAAGTTTGTCGTAGTCTTTTTTTTTTTTTTTGAATGGCAATTCGTTCTTCGTTCTTTAATTGAATGGCACATTTTAAATTTTTAGCGTCACAAACTATAAGACAGCGCACAGTTACGAACTAACAGCGCAGACCTTGACCGCTGTAGTTTTTTGTCTGAAGCGATTCGACAGAAATACGTTAAGTATGTCCCACCTCCAATAACTGTTTGACGAAGTTCTCTCTCATCGTGACTTCCTGTTCCCTTTCCGTGAGCTTCCAGCTCTCGTTTATCAGCTGTTTCTTTTTTTCCAGCAGATCTTGTTTTTCTTCTTCTAGCGCCTTCTCCGCTTTTTTGGCAGCCTCCACGACTCCGTCCATCTCGGCTTTTGCCTGGAACGATAAATAAACCACAAAAAACTCTTCCTTTAAAATGAAATCTTTTTTTGAATTTCGATCAATCAAATTAGGTTTGAGTCATCTAGGCAACTGAAGTTCAGCGGCAGGAAAAAATGTAGAGTATCACGGGAACTTGAAGGCCCTCCAAGTCGAAATCTTGGTTTTGAAGTGTTCAGTAATGAAATCCCCAGTTTGCATTCATGATTATAACACCCTCTCAAGTATGGAGCCGTTTATAAAAGTCCGAAGGCTGAGAGTGGGTTTTTTAACACACACCCCCTCCCCTTCCCCAACCCGTAACGCAGATTTATATCCTTCTTTTTAAAAGAGAAGAAAAAAAGCACCCTTTTGACCTCCTCCCCCTTTCCAAATTAGAAAAATCTTCGATGAACCTCAGTTTTTTCTCTTCCTTCCTTTTATTTCTGATATAAATTGAATGAAGACTTTACTATGTCGATGTGAATTTACTGCAATTAGACGAGTCAACACTGATGCCGCTCGTAAAGTGCCGGCGACTTTTGACTGCTTGCGACAATGCGACACATACCGACGGTGAAACTACCAAACCACGTATCTCGGTTTGCGACGTCGCAGACTTCCTGTCATACTTTATTTTTTAAATGAAAAACTACTTAACATCCAGTCTTGAAAATGTCTGTGATTTTTCCTCTTTGTGCGGAGAAAATTCCGTGAAAATTTCAAGGATTGATATTGATTTGGTCCACTTCAAAAAAATAAAATGTGAGCGTAGATTTTTAAACAATGCAAACGAGATACGTGGTTTAGTAGTTTCACCGTCGATACATGCTCCATCCTACATGTAGTGCCCTTTTGTTTGATTTTTTACCGTAAAGGAAAGAAGGGTACAGATTCGATCAACATGAATCAATCCAAAAATAAAAACCGTGAACCGAGCGACACCGATTTAATCGAAAAATAATTAAAAACCCGGTGTCGATTCGATCGAAAAATAAATTCGTAAACCGATCGACAACGACTCGATCGACAAAGCCGTGAGTCGATCAGTTCACGTCTCTGTTTTTCGGTGACACCGATGGATGATTTGAGTAATTTTCGATCAAATCAGTGGTGTCGATCGGTTCAGGTTTCCCCCCCCCCCCTTTAAATTTATTGATTTATGTCGATCGAATCCATTACCTCCTAATCAAAAGAGGTATAGAACTGACTCGTCTGAGCCTAAATTCACACTTACTTGAGCTAAATCTATTGCACTGGAGAGACTTGCGCCGTGCACTTTAGAAATGGCGTTCACTTGCGCTCGTTCCGAGGCGAGTTCTAATTTTTCTCGAACCAACGCCTCTTGCTGTTTGAGCATTAACTCCCGCATCGATTCTACTTGATGTTTCAAATTCTCGATTTGCTTCAGGTCTGCATCCTTCTCCTCGCGCCACGCTCTTTTTTCAATTTCCAGCGAGTTCCTCTCGCTCCTCACTTGTCTCATCTCGGTATCGAATCGCAGTTTTTCCTCCAATCGTTCCATTTCCAGCGCCTCGCTTCTGTTCGCAACGGATTCCAATTGCGTCTCCAGGGCTAATTTTTCCCGTTTCAAAGCATCTCGCATACCTAACAAATTTGCCAGAGTTATTACTAACAGCCGAGGTCATTGAAGAACTGTGATGAAACCAGACATAATGGGCCCTAATGGAGATTAGAAGGGAGGGGGTTAGAATACCAATGATAGATCTCAAAGGGGTTTATTCTACATCATTTAGCACAAAGAATGTCCAAACTTTGAACCCAGCGGGCTGATTATTGAAATTGATAGGCATAGCTATTGACAAAGAAGACAGGAGGGGATATGGAGGGATCCTATGGGCGGAAACGGGTGGTTGCAATGGACAAAGGAGGTTGGTAATAGACTAACTAACGGCAACCCACGAGAGACCCCATAGGTACTTAGTCCATCATTTTCTCCCTTAGTCCATAGGAACCGCCCATTTCAACCAATAGGATCGCTTTATACTCCTTATGTCTTCTTTGTCTATCGCATTGCCTATCAATTTCAGTAACCAGCTCGTTGGACAGCAATTCAAAATTAGAGGACGGCAAATAGAGAATTCTTGAAAAACGCTGTTAAAGTTTGTTGTTTCCAGCCTCTGAAACGATTTAGTTTAAACACTCGCAACAGTATTAATCATGAGAATTATGGCTCAAAAGTTTGACAAGATGTTGCGTCGCACAGTGGAAAGAGTCAATAGGAGAGGTCGGACAAAATTTGGAAACTTTGAACGCTTATAACTCCGTCTTTACGAAACTCTTAGGTTCCAAAAGTGGTTCCATTGGTTTCCTCGTGACATTTGTATCTTGAAACACCTCTTTTAAAATGTGGCGAAATAAACTTTCAAAATTTGCCATTTTAGTGAAAAATTTGATGTCCGATCTCTCTGCTTGACTTGGTCCACTGTGCGAAAAAGTTGAATATGACGAAAAAGAGTGGCATATCCTATTCGATAGCGAAAATTCGCCCATAGAGATCCAAAAGGCAAGTCATCGTGGAAACGTAGGATGTGTGCGGACCATAGATCGTCTTGCAGTTTTCACCAACTTCCCCATCTCTCCAACGTTCTACGTAGACCGAGAGCTCATGACGATTCGTTCAACCGGAATAATATAAATTTGCCACCCACCTCATTCGAAGCGGATTTTGGTGTGTAAAAAGAAATGGGCGGTCTGGCAGGTCAAACCGGTTGCATTAAGAAAGTTTTAGGCCCCTAAAAAGCCCAAAAATTGCTCGGATTTTGACCGGAAACATATACACTTGATATTGGGCTCATTTAACGCGGAAAACCTTCCTGNCTAACGGTGTATCTACTTACTAGCAAGGTGCTTTTCTCGTACCAACAGTTTTTCCTCTCGTTCTGATAACTCCTCTTCATTTTCTGGTTTATTTATCTGGTAAACTGTAGGTCTCAACAGCTTCCTGCGGAAAATACAGAAGAATATTTAGAAAAAATTTTAAGTCCTATTAGGGCGGAGTTGCTTTTCAAAAGGGCGCGAGGGAGAGACGTCCAAAGAGCGTCACGAAGGGGAGATTTTAAGGGCACATTTCGGGACATCCGCCGTTTTACGGAAGAGGTCAGTTACAACCTTTTCGAAATTAAGTTTCACCCAAAATTCGACTAGTCTAATTCAAATGAAGTGACTGATTCAGCTAAAAGAACACATATCCTCTTATTTGTGAAAACTGAGAGTTAAAAGTAAGAAGCACATGGAAGATTTTCTATGAAAATTGCAAATTTCTTTTGAAATTTTCTTTCCCATGATATTTATTAATTTTTTCCTCAATGAACAAAAAAAGATTGTGTCAAATGTTGAAAAAAAAAATTACAAGAATAATGCAAACATTTGTAAGAATTTTGCAACTTATTGCAATACTTTTGCAATATTTCAGTAACAAAATGCTTACGTGGGAACTCACCCGAAATCTTTAAAGTGCGACTGTGCCTCGAATGAAAATGTCTGCTCCAGAACGGATTTTTGAATTTCGTTCAGCTTCTGATAATCCTTTAGTCTCTCATTTTGCAGTACGCTTATTTTCTCCTCGTACGAGTTTCGTTGCTCTATCTCATTGTGTTTCAATTTGCTCAGTTTTTCCTCGTATTCTGTTTCCATCTGTTCCAGACACTTATTCAATTTTTCTTCTCTTTTTGTGCTCATTTGTAGCTCGTAATTGAGATTTTTCTCGACGGATTCCAATTCTAGTTTGTATCGATTCTCTGCAAACTCCAACTGTAGTTGTAATTTTTTGTTTTCAAACTCTAGATGCTGCATACTATCCTCCAAATTTAAAATTTGTCTATTTAAATTTAGAACCTCTGTTGGAGAAATTGCTTCGTCCGCTCTCTCTTCGCTTTTCCCTTTGCTAACTGTTTCGTCCAACATAATGGGTTTGCCTGAATCTGGTTGAGACATTAACACCTTTGAATGAAATAGCAAAGAAAATATAAGTCTCAAAATCAGATTAAGCACAACAGGTGTGTCAGAATACATTTAAGTGTAATAGCATCATGGCCTCCGAAGAATATCCGCACAATAGAAAACAAGTCCTAAAAATGGTGCATCTCATTTTTTCATTGAATGCTGCAATAGGAAACATTTCGAGTTGTTTTTTGAGATACTGTTAGAGTTGAACCTCAATTTATTTTGCCCTGGTAAAAATTGGCGATAGGAGCTGCGTTTCAAAATACCAAAGGAGTCCTTATAGTCAACTGAAGAAGGCGATAGAAAATCATATACCTAGCTGGCTGTAAAGTGGAAGAAATCTTACGGCCGGGCCACACGAAGCGATAAAAAATTATACAGCCGGGCTATAGTTCCTATCGCCGGGCTATAGTTCCTATCGCCGGGCTATAGTTCCTATCGCCGGGCTTTACACTTTATCGCCTGGTAGTTGCTTTTTCGCCATCGGCTATAAAAGGCTATAAGAAATTGTGTAGAAATTCGTGTGCTTTGTAAGTCCTTAAGTTTGTACGGAATTACCTTAATACTTACAAAACGCACATTATATTTTCCTTTACTACATATTTTTTTTCATCAATTAAAATGAGATTAATCCATACAGAGTGTGCAAACATTTCAAAGTCATGAATTGAAAAACTCTGACTTCACGGGATTAAATAATAGAGCCTAACACAAAGCGGAGCGGCGGCGCACTGGCGCCTACAAACCTAACAGGGATACTTCACGCATTGCGCAATGCGTGAAGTATCCCCGTTAGGTTTGTAGGCGCCAATGCGCGTTTCGCGCTTGCTGCCCGCCCGCCGCGCCGCGCCGCAGCGTACCACGGCGCTTGAAGCAACTATTTCACACCAGAGGTATTGCACAATATCATACGAAATTGAAGGCGCTCCAACATATTAGGAATGGCAGGCATCCCTCAAAAGTACGGAGCTTTCCTCGCAAAATAAATCAAGATACTATGGCCCAAAAAGAGAGCGGTAGTCCAAAAATTCACTAAATCCTAGCATCCGTAATTAGTAGCGTTTAGCATACCTACACTTTATCGCCGGGCTGTTGCATAATCGCCATCGGCTGTAAAAGGCTATGAGAAATTGTATTGCCGGCTATAGAAGCTATTGGAAATCTTACAGCCGGCTGTAGGTCTATGGTATTTTGGAACACAGATTCTACTGCCAATTTTTTACCAGGGTGCATATTGTAATTTTGCGAGAGAATATCCTCAAAAGGCACCCCAAGAGAGGTCAGTATTCACACAAAAGTAGAGGCCAGACCACTTTCAGAAAATTGCTCCAGCTACTCCTGTATGCACGATTATTTAATTTTCATCATAGTCGCAAGTCGTTTCCAGCAATTTGTCATGTTTTCTGAAAATTTTCAGTATCGAAGAGTTTACCGGAAAATTATGTACAGCACCGCGTGCCTAAAATGGAAACTTATCCTATTTTCCCAAGTCTTGGGGCAAAATTTTGGGAATAATGTTCTCCAAATACATTAATAGGGACAATTTCCTGAAGTCCTACAATAGGTAAAGATATTGCAATAAAGGAGGTGACAAGGCGACTTCGCTTTTGAATCAGTTGTACCGTCGTAATTTTTCTCGGGTAAATCAACTGTAGGGCGAATCCTGTCGTAAGATCAAATATATGTCCCATTGAGTTTAACAATTCTGATTTAGAGAAAATTTTGCGCCGAACTTATGCAAATTTTGTGTCAGAAGAAACGGTCTTGTCGAAATTTTCTGATACTTATCTCTACGAGAGTCCTAAACGGGGTGGAACTCTAGGAGGCCTATCTTTCCCGTAGCTATATAAAAATATAATTTTACCAAGATGATATCGTTTATCTGTTGCATCTGCTTCTCGACAATGGCCTCTGCTTCCATCTGCTTCTGCAAATGTTTTTGAATGAGCTGCTCTATTTGCTCCTCCTGTTTGTGCAACACTGCCAACTGCCGTGTCGTTATGCTGTCCATCATCTCCTTTTGTTGCTGCATTTTCAAGACGGACAATAACTGAGAATGAGTTTGTTGCAATGACTGGATCGTTTTTTCCGATACGAAGGCCTTTTCTCCCAAAGATATCGCCGATTTTATGTGAGACTCTGTTGGTACTGACATATGGAAATCAACATATGCGTAAGAAAGAATAAGTAACGGAAGAAGGAATATGAAAAAAAATGTATCCGCTAAAGCGTATGAAAGCTACTGATTTCAACTTTTCATTTACAATTTACATTGGATAAATGGTATAAATACAAATGACTTCATTTGGGTAATCTAATTTTCATTTGATCCATATCAAAATCGCTTGTTAATATCTCGTTTAGGAGTGGATTTTCGAACTTCCCAATTACGTAGAATCGTTTTCTGCGCGAGATATAGAAGAGAAATCACGTTACGTTGATTTCTTGTTCAGACCTTGTCTAGTGGCCCATTGATGTAAATATGGAGTTTTTGAATTCAACTTTTTTAAGGAAATTTTTTATTTGAGAAACATATTTAAAAAAATCTTCGATATCTCTCTCGTTTCCAAAAATGTTACCGATCTCCTCTGATCACTTGAAGAATGAATTTAAAACTAGTGAACGTCCTCAAAAAGCGTTACCTCGTGAAATGCCGTCGCCTTGCACCGATTCGTTGGTGTCAGAAAGAACTGCGTCCTTGACAGGTGTAGAAACAAGCATTGTTGAGGTCGTTAAAGCTCCCGAAGACACAACTGAAGCTCCTTGAGATGTTTGATCCGTAAGCCACGAAGGGAGCTGGCTTTGGTCCCTCCGAGCAATCCCAGCAGAATCTTTGAACTCTGGCATCTCCTTACCTAAAATGCTCATAGGATCGTTTGATACGACTTCGTTGGGTGGTTTCACATTGAAGCGCTTCTCTGGCGGCTCTCTGGGTTTCAAGCCAGCCAAAGGGCCGTCCAAATCGTCCAAACCGAACTGAGATTTGAAAGATGTCACCATTTTAGGCGTAGTCTCTGATTCCCGGCGTCTACCGAAACTTGGCCTCCGGTTGGGTGTGCCAGCTGATGGTACGTAATCTTTAGGTGCCACTGATGGTGGTTTTTCTTCCGAATCTGCAATTTTGGAAACGACCAGGATAAACAAATGACCACGAATCTGTGAGATCTTCTATCTGATAATACTTTTAATCTCCTTGAGTATTTTCATTTAAAAAAAAATTTAAGCCCAACGCAGACTGTGTCAATGTAACACTCAGAATGCGATTTGATTTAAGTAGATTATTTATTTTCTATTAGCGGGAAGTTTGAATCCATGCATGAACAAACCTCGATATCTTGGTGAGGGGTAATTTTTGCTGTACAAATCGCGTTCTACGTGCATTTTTGATGAGACAACGTGAATATCATGATTCCCAAATTTAACGTCCATTTCAGCGAGTCGATTATCGAAATTGATAGACAAAGCTGGAGACAAAGAAGACGAAAAGGGTATGGAGGGATCCGATTGATCGAAGCGGGTGGTTGCAATGGACAAAGGAGGTAGGTAATAGACTAACTAACGGCAACCCACGAGAGACCATATAGTTAGTCCATCATTTTCCTCCGTAGTCCCTCAGTTACTGGGAACCACACATTTCAACCAATGATAGCTTTATACTCTCTATGTCCTCTTTTTCTATACCTTTGTCCATAAATTTCAATAATCAGCCCGCAGAAACTTTTTGATCATTCCACGCAAGAGCTCATCGTCAGCCTACAACCTCTCATATCACCAGGGCCGGATTTACCTACTTGCCGCCCATGGGCCGCCTGTATTTTGCCGCCCCCTTCTCATCCGTTTTAAAATACCAATAAAAACCATCAAGTAAACGTGTCAGCGGGGAAGGGGTGCGTAAGACTCGTTTACTCGTGTTGGACATATTTTTTGGGAAAACCCTGTTAACACTACTAGCAAAAGTTCATGGAACTTGGCGCGAAATTTAAGTTCCGTAAACCTATCTCTGTGTGGACAAGGCCTTCCATTCATAAGAAATGAACGAACAAATTATGAATGAACAAACATTAATGTAGTTTAATGATTTTAACTTCCGCCACCGCGCCGCGCAGACTGCACTGTGTTTGGCACAGTGCGTGAAGTATTCCGACAGTCTTGTAGGCGCTATGCGTTTCACGCCGACCGCTGCTGAACGTACTGTGTTTGACGCAATGCGTGAAGTATTCACGCAGTCTTGTAGGCGCTAAGCGTTTCACGCTGACCGCACTGTCTTTGGCGCAATGCGTGAAGTATTCGTGTATTCTTGTAGGCGCTATCCGTTTTACGCTGACCGCAGTGACTGCACTGTGTTTGATGCAATGCGTGAAGTATTCGTGAGTCTTTTAGGCGCTTATATATGTATGTGTTACATGCCGATCGCCGCGCCGAGGGCTTCTCCTATTCATCTAAAGTCCTCGTCATCATTTCTGTCTAAGTCGCTCCGTTCCAGGCCAAATTGCGTGTTTGGTTTCTCTCTTAACTCGATTAAAGAAAGGTGCTATCTCTTGTATCACTAAAAGACGACAAAATTAGAAATTACTACTCTCAGGAAATGAGAGATTTTGTCGCCTTTTCTCGTTTGTAATTTTTTTCTTTTAAATTCGATTTTTTTAAAAAATTGCAAAATTTGCCGCCCCCTTGATTTGCCGCCGTGGGCCGCGGCCAATGTGGCCACCCCCTTAATCCGGCCCTGCATATCACCACTGTCAACTGATCCCCAAAAGTCACCAATGTCTCCCCAAAAAAGGACAAAAATCGTCTTAAACACCGGCCTTCTCAAATTTTCCCGCCAGTCGCGGTGGAGCGGTGTAACCAGGAATGAAAAAAAAACTGTAGTGTTGCCTGGTTGTTCGTATGTTATTATCAGTTCAACATGACTTGTATAAATTAGTCGTCTAAATTACACATTTTAACGTTCTAACTAGCTCCCTTTCTCCTACTATTTCGTGAAAAGAGTCCCCGATTTTCTTGATTAAACACCCCTAAAAGTCCCCGAAAGTCCCCAATTTTGGCTCTTTATAACTGGTAGACACCCTGATCTCTTACCTTTCAAATCGAAAGAAGGTGGGAGTCTCTCCGTCGTCTTGGTATCCTGACTGTGATCAGGCGTACGGTCTGGAAGCAGATCGTCCATGTCACCTAGTCCTCCGAAAATATCCGCGTCGCCTCTCTTGGTCGCGTCACTGAAGCTAACCCTTTTCGGTGGATCTGAAGTTTCCGTCTCCAATGGTATATCTAAAGACTTGAAGATGCTCTTCTTGCTCTCGGCGCTCTTCATGATCCCGAGACCTTCGCTCCTTCTTCTCCGGGTCTCGCTGCTCATCCCGAAACCTCCCAGTTTCCCCGCCGGTTCCTTCATGTCTGCGTTAAGTCCCAGACTGTACGTGGTCTCGTTTTTGGCACTCGGGTCTTTCTTCGTCTCGCTCTCGGGGCTGCTTTTGAGGCCGAGCCAGCTGGCGCTGTCCTTTTTCGCCGTTTCGGCCGCCTGCTCCGTTGACTCCGCGTCCTTCTCGAGTCCGAAGAGGTCAGCAATTTTCCTCGATCGCTCCTCCGGTTTCTGCCCGTCCATTTGTACATCGCTGAAAAATTCGGAATGAAGGCTACAAAATGCACTCTTCTTTCAAGTCATCTTTGAACTAAGAAGCAATAAGTAGTACAGTAGATATCGGTTAATACGACATATCGGCTAATACGACGGATTTCGTTTTCCCCGGCGAAACTCCATAAGTTAATACGAGTATGTTGGAGTTTTTTAGCCAACATGCCTTAAAAATTCGGCGTAAAGCTGAAAATCTAAATTCAGAGGGAAGAAGCTCGTATGAGCACAATTTTCTCTCAACGAGATATGCTGTTTGGCTCAACACTGGTTACGACCACATCAACACTAGTTCCGCCAAACAGCATATCTCTTTGAGGGAAAATTGTGTTCATACGAGCTTTTTCCCTCTGTATTGAGATTCTCAGCTTTATGCTGAATTTTTAACGCACGTTGGCTAAAAAAAAACTCCAACATACTGTCTTACGACCCGTGCGTACACCGCAATCAGTTTATGTAACAATAAGTAGGTAGTTTGTAGGTACTGCTGTGTGCGCACTCCAAATCTGAGGAGCTTGGAAGACAACTTGGATAAATGCATTTTTTTAAGAAAAAATGAGATATTAATGATTCCAACTGAAACTCCAATAACTCATATTCTGTGAAAAATTCACTGCGAATTGCCAATTATTTATGCATCAAAAAGTGAGTTTGAAGTTGCCTTTAGACATGAGGCTCCAGGTAATTTTTTAACTCTAAACGCGTATTTCGTGAAATAGCAAGAACTGCACTTATGCACCTTGTCCTCTAAGCCCCTCATCTTATCTTCATCTTAATTTTAACCCAATAGTGGCCTCCAGTGGTCATACTCTCCCTTTAGAGGTACCTTACTGCTCTCGTTATCGTGAAATTACCTCAGAGACTTTACTTAACCATGTGTGGTTTGCAGCTTTAATGCTTGATCGAAGCTCCATTCAAAAATGTAATTTGTTGATTAATTTTTGTTTACCTCTTTGTTGCAGGTGTGTTCTTAATCGACGGTTTTGTCTTGGGATCGTCAAAAAAATCATCATCAGAGAGAGAAAAATCAGCTAGCGGATCGGACTCGTCAAAATCTGCAAGTCATGTGAACTTCATCAGTATGTCAGGGTTACTGGGCTCTATCTCTCAATAAACAGGTAAGAGAAATATTTCAAAACTTCAATAAAACACTAAGCATATTCCAAATCTATACAACTGACAAGGGGAGCTTCCCAAGTGTAACCGGAATTTCGAGTTGAAATTTCGCATGAAGATACTAGAGATGATTTTAGGGATGCCGTATTTTTTCGTTTTTTCGAATGGGGTCGGGAAAGCCCTCAAAAAAAGGGCTAAAGATGCGGAAAAAACGCGTGCGCTAGCGGCACAAGGTAAACATAGGTGATAGAGGCTCCCCATCCTTATCAGTTCCGCATGGCCAAACGGTAGCGTGCTCGCCTCGCAGGCAGGAGGTCGTAGGTTCGGATCCTGACTACTGCCCGTGATTTTATTTTACTTTATGCTTGTTTATTTTTCACTTACTTTATTTTGCACCATTCTCTCCGCAAACCGACTTACGAGGTAGAACACGTAGTGACTGAAGATTTTTACATACTTATGCTGATAAAAACTTGAAGTTTCTCTTGGATTGAAACGTTATATATAATTGAATAAACAAAACACTCTAAAACTCACCAAATTTCGTTGCCAAGCTGAATTTTCGAAGTATCAGTCGAATCTGTATCTGTATCTGACTGATACTCCGGAAATACAGCTTGGCAACGAAATTTGGTGAGTTTTAGAGTGTTTTGTTTATTCAATTATATATAACGTTTCAATCCAAGAGAAACTTCAAGTTTTTATCAGCATAAGTATGTAAAAATCTTCAGTCACTACGTGTTCTACCTCGTAAGTCGGTTTGCGGAGAGAATGGTGCAAAATAAAGTAAGTGAAAAATAAACAAGCATAAAGTAAAATAAAATTACGGGCTGTAGTCAGGATCCGAACCTACGACCTCCCGCCTGCGAGGCGAGCACGCTACCGTTTGGCCATGCGGAACTGATAAGGATGGGGAGCCTCTATCACCTATGTTTACCTTGTGCCGCTAGCGCACGCGTTTTTTCCGCATCTTTAGCCCTTTTTTTGAGGGCTTTCCCGACCCCATTCGAAAAAACGAAAAAATACGGCATCCCTAAAATCATCTCTAGTATCTTCATGCGAAATTTCAACTCGAAATTCCGGTTACACTTGGAAAGCTCCCCTTGTGAGTTCACGCTCTTTTAAAACAGAACAACAGAGCCTCAGTTATACGACCGATACTTAACGAATTCCATTATAACGCCTGGATGCAACTATTCGAGCTTCATGGATGTCCGTGTTGCATACGCACGAGATTGAAGGCGTTTTGCTTTCAGACATCAACTGCCTCATATTTGGCGCTCAGTGAAACGAGTCAATGAGGATTTGGACAAAATATGGAAACGTTAAAAGCTCACATCGATGTCATACGGAATGTAGAGGTTTTAGTGGTGGTTTCATCGATTTTCTCGTAAAATTTCCTCCAAGAAGCACCCTATAAAATTTATAGTGCGAAAAAATATACATCAAAATTTTCAGTTTTGGTCGAAAATTTCACGTCCAACTTCTCTCCGAGAGGCGCGTTCCATGATGCGGCAGGATTCACCGCGAAGGACTAAAATGACAGAGTGCTTTCAATTTACGGGAACGCAAATTGCGAGTCCAGAAGTGGATTTTATGTACTCATTTCTGTTATTTTTAATCTGATTACTATGCGCTTTTACCTTTAAAATTGTCCCCTTAGTTTTCTGGATCTCTTGGAGTTCAACATTGTCGCACATAACTTGTCGCACATGTTATACTTTTATTGATATCAACATCTCACCAAAAACGTCACGCCATGTACCTACCCTGGTAAAAATTGGCGATAAGAGCTGCGTTTCAAAATACCATAGGAATTCTTATAGCCGGCTAAAGAAGGCTACAGAAAATCATATAGCTGGCTGTAAAATGCGGAGAAAATCATACGGCTGGGCTATACGAAGCGATAAAAAATCATGCAGCCGGGCTATAGTTCCTATAGCCGTGCTTTACATTTTATCGCCTGGCTTTTGTTTTTTCGCCATCGATTATAAAAGGCTATAAGAAATTGTGTTGAAATTCGTGTGCTTTGGAAATCATTAAGTTTGATACGGAACCACCTTAATATTTACAAAACACACGTTATATTTTCCTTTCATACATATTTTTTTTTTCATCAATTAAAACGAGAATAATCATACAGGATGTGCAAACATTTCAAAATCATGAGTTGAATAACGCTGACCCCGCCAGATTAAATATTAGAGCCTAACACAAAGCGGAGCGGCGACGCACTGGCGCCTACAAACCTAACAGGGATACTTCACGCATTGCGCAACGCGTGAAGTATCCCTGTTAGGTTTGTAGGCGCCAATGCGCGTTTCTTGCTGGCTGCCCGCCTGCCGCACCGCAGCGTGCCACGGCGCTTGAAGCAACTATTTCACACCAGAGGCATTGCACAGTATCATACGAAACTGAAGGCGCTTCAATATATTAGGAATGGCAGGCATCCATCAAAAGTACGGAGCTTTCCTCGCAAAATAAATCAAGATGCTACGGCCCGAAAAGAGAGCAGTGGTCCAAAAACTCACTAAGTCCTAGCATCCGTAATTAGTGACGTGTAGCATACACTTTATCGCCTTGCTGTGAGTTTCTTAATCGCCATCGGCTATAGAAGGCTGCAAGAAATTGTGTAGCCGGCTTTAGAAGAATAGAAGCTATTGGAAATCTTACAGCCGGCTGTAGGTCTATGGTATTTTGGAACACAGATTCTACTGCCAATTTTTACCAGGGTAGTTGCAAAATTATAAAATTTATCGTTGAAAAAGCGCAAAATATAATGGCATATGAAGCAAAACATACATACCTTCTAAAATTGATTTTTTGGGGAAGAGGGAAGTCATCTTCACCGGTGTTTTATTCAATCGTAATCAAGTCAACGGCCTCAAACTCACTTAAAAGCATACGCTCAATAATTAAGCACGTACGGACTAAAAATCAACACATATTTTCTAAACATTTCAAATAAAATGAGGGCAATCATGCACAAGATATACTTAAATCTATCTGAATATAGCAAGAATTACATATGAGAAAAGGGAATAACGCGGGGACGAGGCTGGAAAACAAAACTTAACACGGGACGTCCCGTCTAGTTTCCCAGGCATTATGAATCGTAAAATACGATATATTTATACTTTTTACATATTTACACACTGACTATCCTACGAGCCGATTAACGCTGATTATGTCAGCTCATGCTGTCGTATTATCGGATACAGTAACTCGGTCAACGCGGTAAATTAATTACTGCGTTAATGAGACGGTACCCGGCATGGCGTCGCGGCGCAAGTTGTTTATACGGAGCGGCGTCTCCATGGCGACAGGACGTCCACTGCACCGCGCACCGCAGGTCATCGCCGCGGTTCGCGGGTCGCGTGCCGTAACGCCGTAACGTGCGTTTGAATTTTGCCGCGTGTTACTCAAGGTCGCCAGCGCACTGCCAAACGGTAGTGGCGCCAAAAGTTGTTCACCTTATAAATTCTACCGGTACTTGATTCACATCCGCCTTCGTCCGTCTGCAGCTGAGTCCCGTGTTCCGTCGGCATATTTAATTCTTTTCTCCTTACTCACAATCAGTTCGATGTCTGAGCACGTGTCCTGTCCAGGACCAGATTTATCGCACACAGGGTTCCCTATGGCTAGACAACCAGACTGCTGGAGAGTGTTCTACGGTTTACTTATTTTCACATCTATGCTGCCGTGCTAAGGAAGAACGCCGCACAGTGGATCGAGTCAATAGGAGAGGTCGGACATAATTTGGAAACTTTAAACGCTTAAAACTCCGTTTATACACAACTTTGAGGTATTAAAAGTGGCTCCCTTGGTTTTCTCGTGAAATTTTCTTCTCGAAGCACCCCTTGCATTTTAAATTATGACGAAAATAACATCAAAATTTGCAGTTTTGGTCAAAAATTTCATGTCCGACCTCTCGAATTGACTCGATCCACTGTGCGCCGTATGAACATTCGACAGTTGCCGAATTTCCATCGATAAAATGGTCATTTTAAAAATAATATCCAAAATATTTACAAGTTTACTGGCAAGTTCGTGTTTTATCAAAGGAAATTTGGCAACGCCTAAAGTCGTTCATACGGCGTTCTTCCTTAGCACTGCAGTATGGCTAAGTGCGAAACCACGTATCTCCATCGCGGTGTTTCAAAATTTCCGCTCTTATTTTATTTTATTTCTATTTTAAGAAAAGCAAAAAAACTTTATAGCTTGAAAATGCAGAATATTCTGCTAACAAAGAAGAAGTAGAGAAAGAGCTTAGGCCGTGGACAGGGGACTAGGGAGCGATTAAACAAAGGTTTTATCACGACTGAACATACAATTAAACCTTCACTGATCAATTTAATTGTTATGATTTTGAGACAGGCAATAACCAGTGAAAAGTTAAAAAAAATTTAATGTAGTAGACATTAAAAGGGAATGATTATGGGAACTACACAAAAGCAACTCCGTGCAAAGCAGGGGTAAAACCTCATCAGTATTTCACCATTTTCTAGCCGACGAATTGTCATCCTTGAGGCACCTCAAGAGAGAGTATTTATTTTAATCATTATCACGTGGACCAGGAGCGGATCCGTCATTAGGCTACGACTATAGTCAGTGTATAGTCAGTGTGGTGAGCGCGAAGGAACAAGGACCCTTTGATTTACCGATACAAGCCAAAATTGCGTCACCGGGAAGTTTTGTCATAGAACCCCGCGTACGGCACGTTTTTATATCCGATTACTTTTCGAGTTATACAAGATAGCATAATTCATCCGAGTGAAGTCGAGCCTGGAGTATTCAATACACAATAGCTTAGGGGCGCAACACCCTCAGAGGCGCAAAATTTTTGAGCCTTCGTTCTCATCCTTCAGTAAACGTGTATTGGCATTGTATTTTTCGTGATATTTTTCATAAAGCCAGTTTATCTGGCGTTAACATTTTCGCAGTTGTATCTCAAAAATGTGTAAAACCTTTTTTTTAGAAGGATTTCAATTATATTTCTTGGTATTTCACCCACCTAACACTCTCTTTTTCTGGGGAGGAGGGAGGCAGAGGAGGTCTGGGCACCCCCCCCCCCCCCCNAAGCATAATCTTTTCGAGGGAGCGACCGCGAACCAAAGTTCAGCCTAGGACGTGCCCTGATAAAGACAGCTTTCACTCCCCCCCTCCCTCCGTTAAAAATCCTGCGCACCCCTTTGAACGAGGGAGAAATGCAATCGATGGAATTCCAACACTCGCAAGGGTTAATCACCTGCATTCATCTGGATGCGACTGGCTTTTCCGCGTATTTTCCGAATGGCTTCTCAATCATTACCCACTATCAAACAGCTCGCAGCAGCAATGAGTCGGTCATTGCCAATGACCGTGACAAGAACCTATCGTTTCCATGACGACGCGCGGGTAGCTATTGGGCCGCCGGAGGCGCCCCTGGCGGCCGCTGCGGAAACGAAGCTCGTACCCACGTCTTTTTATTGATATTTCTATTTCCGTGACGCGCTCCGTCGACTACAGCGAGCGATCGGCTGTTCGCTTCTCCGATCCACGTCCCAGTAGTGTAAACATGCCGCGAGCCTGTGTCGTGCGCGCCCGTCTCTCGATCTAGAAAGTCGCTCGCGAAAATGACGGATCCGCGATTTTTAGTTTTCCTTCCGCCCGTCCAAATACCAGTTTTGTACCTTGTCAATTCTCGCGGATGGTCTCATAATTCTAGCAGCGCTGTCCACGCTGATTCGTGCGCATTCGTCGTGTCTTGAAGTTTTTACCGAGGAGTTACGAGCCGTTTCGATTCGGGTTGACGAATTTGGTTTTCGAAATGAGCGGCAGTCGTATTGTAACGACGTTCACGTCGACCGACTCGATCGTCAAGAACGAGGAAACGTCCGACGAGCTGATCAACCCCTTCGTCCATCATCTGGAGTTGACGTCAACTTACGAAAAAGTTAAGGTACGGTCTTCAAGTCTCAGATTTAACAACGACGCTCGATTTTAAAATGAGCCTCGAAGCCAACACATCCTCTTCTTTCCCAATCCTTAATTGTCCTTAATTGCACATGGTCGCTTACTTAGCACTAATTGCGGGGGTTTCTACCCTGCCGTGTTACCAAAGCATGCAGTCAGTCCTACCATGACATTCTGAGAAAATGGACTTACGTGCGTAGTGCTTGCTGTTCGAGCGGATTTTATGATCTTCGAATAAAGAGGAGCGCTATCTTGTTAAAATCAAAATATATTCAATGTATAGGTGTATATCATCATACCTCAGTGCATTAACTGAAAGTTCCTAATTGACGTCCAAATGAATGCTTGCAAGCTTCTCGACTCTTTTATCGGTCCTTTCCCCGCCGCTTTTTGATACTTCTCATTGGAGTACCTATTTAAACACGTACATTGTACCTATTGAAGATGCTCTAAAAGACGTTCCTGCAATGAATTGACAAAGTGTAGTGTTCCACATGAGCGGTGGTTTAGTCAATGTGTAACCGGAGTGTTTGTCTCCTTGTACGACCACAAATACGCAGGTATCGATACTTGACATGACGTAACATGTCCAATATACCTTATATGTCCAACAATTTTGGGGATAGGAACTAACTCGTGAACCTAGAAGGTAATCGGTAATATGAACTTCGTTTAATGATTTTACGACCCAAAATACCTTCTGGATAAAAACGCACATGGCCGTTGTTCTTTTTTTGCCCAAAATTTGGCCACCATCTCGGATTTTGGGATTACAAAAGGTCATAGAGAATTTTAAACTACTGATTTGAGTTTTACCTCCGATTTTACACAAAAATTAACTCCTTACAATCAGGGCTGGATTCAGGATTTTTAGGCTCATGGTGCGGGCCTCCCTAAAGTGCACCTTCTCGGAGAAGGGGGCTAAGTTTTCCCGGGAGACCTCCGTTGTAAAATTTGAAACGCTGACCCCTCCTAAACATAATTTGAAGCGTTTTTTGCAAATATAATGAGGGACAAGAAAGAGAATAGGTCCCATAAAGACATAAATACTCGTATTAGCGTATGAGAAGCAAACGAAAATTTTAAAACAAATAAATAAAAAGTTTAGATTGAGGGGGAAGGAAAAAGAAAATTTGTGGTGCGGGCCCCTAGGTATGCATGATGGTTGATCCGGTCCTGTTTACAGTTGACCAAAAGGGTGGTTTTCTCACATTTCACCCCGTTTGGCGGCCAGCCTTCTTGAATGGGGGGGGGGGGTTGTCTGCAAGAAAACCTTTTGCATTGTAGGACCCCCTTCTCCTTCCCCTCCATAGAAGGAGGGGTTTGTCAGTTTGAGATGTTTAAGATACAAGAGGAAAGGTAGTTTTTCTGTTTTTAACCCCCTCAGCCCCCCCCCTCATACAGGCTCAGATCCCCTCTCCCTCTCGAGAGTGTTAGGTATTTTATAAGTGACCCTTTAGTGCCCGATTTGAAAGAAGTAGACTTGAAATTTTTGGCGGTCAGAAAGTATGAACTGTAAACTCACAAACGTTGAAAAAGCTAATTTTGCTATTATCTCCCTCATAAGTTGAGGAGGAAAATATGTCGCATTGTCGCACCTCTTAGTCACAATCTCACAATCGTCCTGTGACAAGTTGAGTTCAGAGCAGAACGATCTTTGGTCTACCGAATCGTAAACAGTCGGCATCGTGGTTCGTGGGTACCGAATACTTGTCTCCGTATGAATAAAATATCCGCGCTGTCAAGGTCGTATTAACCTGCACTTACAACTCGTCCAACATGAAGCGGTCCTTTGTGCCGCTTCGTTTTCGGGAAAGCGTGTTTCTGCACCAGCCATACGATCCTGCATTATGTCTCGATTTTGTAGGATATGTCGTCACATTTCACCCATAACCGACGGAACACCGGGATTACTGGTGCATTCTGCTAAAAACGGCTCTACTGGTGAGTGCTTACGTGGTTCCATGCTGACGCTAACATGGTATCAATTATGCTGGTGGGAATTTAAGGCTTCTCATTGTCAGCCCCTACTTGATTAAGCCACAGAGACAAGAGGAAAATCTCTATTTAGCATGGCAGTGGTGGAATCTTTAACCTTCAGGACTCCAACATTGCATTGTTGACCTACGTGCTTCCTACCAGGTGGATGTTAAACAACGTGTTGAGCATTTAGTTCAGCAAACAAGTCGAAGTTTGGTAAATATTACGTCATTCGCAGCTCATTAGCCACCTCGTAGGTAGGAATACAGCATATAAAAGGGTGATGACTGTTGCAACCATATAGTTGCTCGTATAGGGAAATGTTGAGTCCCCGAATGTTTAAGTTTCCACCTGTTGTCAAGAGATTAGTAGAGGGTCTTTTCTCTCCTCGTCTCTTTTCAGCCCCGAGCCCAAATCTGGTCGGTTTACGGATGACTGCTAGTTGAAAAACTCACCTCTAAAGACTATAAATTGTGAAAATGATATTCTATGCTCAAGCCGTAGACAATTTGAACTTTTTTACAGCAAGCCCGAGCCATTCTTATAGTTCCTAGGCAGGGCAGGATTAAGGGGGTGGCCACATAGGCCGCGGCCCATGGCGGCAAATCTAAGGGGCGGCAAAAATTTGCAATTTTTTGAAGTGTAGGTATAAAAAAATCGTAGTTATAAAAACAAAATTACAAACGCGAAAAGGCGAAAAAATCTCTCATTTCCTGAGAGTATAGTAATTTCTAATTTTGTCGTCTCTTAGTGATACAAGAGACAGCACCCTCGATAAGTCGAGTTACGAGAGAAACCAAACACGCAATTTCGCCGAGAACGGCGCGACTTAGAGAGAAATGACAACGAGGACTTGAGATGAAAAGGAGAAGCCCTCGGCGCGGTGATCGGCATGTAACACACATTAGCGCCTACAAGATTGCACGAATACTTCACGCATTGCATCAAACACAGTGCGGTCAATCGGTCATTGCGGTCAGTGTGAAACGGATAGCGCCTACAAGAATGCATGAATACTTCACGCATTGCGCCAAACACAGTGCGGTCAGCGTGAAACGCATAGCGCCTACAAGACTACGTGAATACTTCACGCATTGCATCCAACACGGTGCGGTCTGCGCGGCGCGGCGGAAGTTAAAATCATTGAACCTCATTTATGTTTCTTCTTTCATAATTTTTTCGTTCATTTCTCATGACTGGAAGGCCTTGTCCACACAGAGATAGGTTTACGGAACTTCACTTTTGCGTAAAGTTTTGTGAACTTTTGCTAGAAGTGTTGACAGGGCTTTCCAAAAAAATGTGTCCAACACGAGTAAATGCGTCTTATGCACCCCTCCCCCGCTGGCACGTTCATTTGATGGTTTTTATCGAGTTTCAAAACGAATGAGAAGGGGGCGGCAAAATATAGGCGGCACATGGGCGGCAAGTAGGTGAATCCGGCCCTGTTCCTAGGCGGTTCGAACCTGCAATCAGTGATCGAATGACAAATTCGAAAGTCTTGCCGGAAAATTATGCCCGTAAACTGGCCAACAAGATTCGGGCACAGACCGTGTCGACTTTGCGGGCTGATTATTGAAATTGATAGGCAAAGCTATAGACGAAGAAGACATAGGGAGTATGGAGTGATCCTATTGGTTTAAATGGGTGGTTCCTGTAGACTAAGGGAGAAAATGACAGATTAACTATAGGTTCTCTCATGGGTTGCCGTTAGTTAGTCCATTATGCACCTCTCCTTTTGTTCATTGCAACCACCCGTTTCTACCAATAGGATCCCTCCATATCTCTTTTGTCCTATCTGTCTATAGATTTCGATAATCGGCCCGCTGGTCTTTCTGTGAGGGCGCTCTTGGTATGCTGTAAATGCCCTCACCGCGAGAAATTGAATAAAAAATAGCATTGATCCTGTTCCTCACTTTGGGAAGTTCCGCGGTCCTTTTCCACGATTTTCCGAGCGGAATATGACACATACGAGCAGAGTACGATGACCCACTTCCATGGCGAGGCGAAACTCGGTAATCTACCTTGGAATGGTGTCGCTGTTGGTCTATGATCGCTGCGAATAAACTCATGAGATTGAATTTTCGTCACGCATCGACGTTAACGGGTGTTGTACTACGGAGTGGCGGCGCGAGTCCCTCCGCCCCGATGGTCGCCCGAAATGCATGATTCAAGAATCATCGCTGGCGCCTGCGCCTGTCGCTCCTCGAGTCCTCGCAGTATCTGCGCAGCTATTCATATTCTCACTCTCCGAAATTAAGTTAAACGACCGTACACATGAAGGCTTTTATCAGTGATTCATCCTGGGGTGAGCCCGCACCGACACACTCGCAACGCACATCCGCACTGTCGTGATAGCGATTAGCGAAGAGAGCCGTCAGTCTCAAGTTTTCAAAAATCGACTTTTCTCAAAATTCGCTCTATCTCATTTACCTACATGAAATCACTGAAATACCCAGAACAGCGAAATTCGTCTTATTTTTATGAAAACGAGACATATGCCGCAATCACCGCTGAATTTGGCAGCTGAATATGGAAGTCGTTAGGTTAACACAGTTCTTATCACAGATCGAAAATGAAGATGATGAACTGAGACGAATCCAGAACTCGGACAGGAATCTGACTGCATCTTAGCAACAGGAAACTAGAAATCGAACAGGAACAAACCTGCGAATTACAACTGGAAAATTGAACAACAGTCATCGCTCAACAGCTGAAATTTCGCAAATTCGAGTTACTTTCATCCAGATGTGTATCAAATCTATTCGAATAGTTCAGACAAATCCAACATTTTCCGATGGTCGCTGAGAATCGTTGCTGAATTTTGGTTCGACACGCGCAATATTCAGGCATCGGGCCGATGACTTCCACATTCAAGCCACATTCAGCGTGGCAATGTGAAAAAGCGGAAAGAGCGAAAAAAATGGCGTGGTTTCAGACAGGACAGCCGTAAGGAGCATTATTATTCCAGAAAGTCAATGAAAATAGTGCTTTCAAGGAAAATGCCGC